ATTCACCACGGATGAGAAAGCTGAGGATGCTGAGGGATGCGGAGGGATGCTGGGGATGCTGACACGCAAAGACGTGAAGCCCTAACACGTGCTCACGCCGTGACTCATGCAGCCTCCGCGGGTATTTCCGTCCCGCCGCTCCAGCTTACCATGTCTCACTCGCTCAACGCCTCTTCCTAGTTTTGTCTACCTTAAATACATCCACGGTAGGGTTATTTATCATACGGCCTCCCTCGGCTGTACCGGTGAAGGCACCACGATATGGCGGTGCATTTTAATAACACTACAGCGCGCCCGTATTATACAACCCGTCTCGTATTCGCCCCTAAAACTATGCTTGCCACTTAAATTGCTTGCCAGGGCACGAGAAAACAATTTTGCCGAAATAGAAATGTTGACGTGAGGTGAAGCCTTTGCTATAGCAGCCAGCACTTAGTCTGCCGGCTGTCGGAGTACGGTTCACAACCACAACCACAGTACACCAGCCGCGTGTGAGCATGCAGGAAATAACCAAGACGTAGTTCGTTCTTCGTGTACTTGTTACGGGGAAACTTTGTTTCCACAAAGCTCTCTATTACAATGTTTTGTAGATTTCAATGTTGTCGATGTTTGTGAGGCCGTACACGACAGATCGGACTGACCAAAGAATTGGGATTCGGTGTTCGAGCAGGTTTCGTAAACGGACTTCCTGATATACCCTCACTTATCCCTTGTTTACCCCAGCACGCACAGTACCTATACCCCAGCCGAACCACTCCTCAATAACTTCACGTAATTATTTAACGTAATTTTACGTAATTAATTAAGCCGACCTGACAAAGTCCTGTACCTGGCAAGCTTGTTGAAATTAGTTTGCTGAAATTTGCAGAAATTGTTGAAATTTAGCGCTTTCGAAATTAATTTGCATTTACCTGACTACATGCGTTGAACAAACGGTAACAAAAAGCCCTACTAAAATACCGAGAAGCACGAAATAGACTTCACGAAGTAGACTTCACCAAATAGAAGTCGAATAGTGGAGCAGTTTCGGGGAGGGGGGGTGCAAAAAACTTCGTAGACGAGTTCGACACTTAAAATATAGTCTCTGTAAGAACACGTGATACGAGGTGGTGCTCAGTGCATGCGGACATCGATTCACCAACGTATGCCAGCAGCGATACAAAGATCCCCCATAAAACCTGACATCGTTTTTCTTTGTCGTACATATGATCTTTTGCAAAACGCTTAGGGAGTCGCATTAAGCCTAGCGCAGACGTGCGATTTTTTCATGCAACTTGACAGCGATCCTAGAATCGCTGCAAAAATTGCTGTGAAATCGCTACGTCTGCGGGAATGTGCAACTGCAACCCGTAGCTATTCTGGTCGCTTGCGACGAGTTGCAAGAAATCGAACTTATTTGAATTTGTGCGACTCGTCGCTCTCAATATCTCCTAAATTGCTCTAAAATTACTCGGAAATCGCATGTGTGCGCACACGCGGTGACACATCGACCGATCACTTGCGGTTGCGGGTTGCAACGACGAGCAACCAAAAATCGCAGGTCTGCGCTAGGCTTCATAGGGGGTCGCGTTACTCTTCCTGTTCTACTTTCGGACACGTCGGCTTGCATCTGAGTCACTACGCGTTTTTGTGCATGTGTTAATTTTGTAACCGGATAGAACTTGTTTCTGATATTAGCATTTCCGGGACTGTTTTCTATATTATCAAGAGATATCAAATAATTATTATTTAGTATTATTAGCTCTTAATATTATGTAATATATAAGGCCGTACGGGATTTTGACAGACTCACTGCGTACGCCTTGTCCACGTCTGTGGAAATATTTGGGAAATATTTGTGACGCTTACTGCACTATTTGCCGGAGAGCAATTAATTGAGCGTTTTACAATTAATTGGCTCTGACAATTAGATATGGAATGTTTTCATGTATATGCACCTCGCATAGTTTTTGTCCCGCTCACCTCACAGCTCTCAGCTCTACCTAGGTGCACAGTTTCACCTGTTTAATCACAACTGTACCTGGGTGTTCACGGCTCTACCTGGATGTTCACAGCTCTACCTGAATGTTCACAGCTCTACCTGGGTGTTCACGGCTCTAGATGGATGTTCACATCTGTCCCTGGGTGTTCACGGCTCTACCTGGGTGTTCACGGTTCTACCTGGGTGTTCACATCTCTACCTGGATGTTCACATCTCTACCTGGGTGTTCACAGCTCTACCTGGGTGTTCACATCTCTACCTGGGTGTTCACGGCTCTACCTGGATGTTCACAGCTCTACCTGGATGTTCACAGCTCTACCTGGATGTTCACATCTCCACCTGGATGTTCACAGCTCTACCTGGATGTTCACAACTCTACCTGGATGTTCACAGCTCTACGTGGTTGCCTACATCTTTTCTTGCTTGCTCGCAACATCAGTTCTCTGGTTGCGCTTAATTTACTCTGGTGGCGAATTCAGTCACGTGCGTTCACTCGCACATTCCGAGCAAAAAGCCGGACGATGCAAATACTGCGAAATGTTGGCATGTGGGTTTTACGGAACGACAGGCAACACTGCAGTCTTTGTTGAGCTTAATTTTGCGTGACTGGGTCAAGAGGCATTGCAAGTTTACCAGGGGGAGTTTGTAAGAACTGCGTAGCCGTCAGGGGAAGTGTGAAAACAAGGTGTCGGTGGTTCACTGATTTCCGACTCCATCGCACAACAACCGATCGACGAAGAACACCATGCATGCAGTCGCGCGCGGTGAATTACAATTTCCTCGACACAGTTGCCAAAAATCTGATTGAAAAGCCACGCGCATATTCTCACACGCCAGTTATACGGCAGTAAATGGAAGGCCGGAATGCACTGAGCCTGACCCCGGCTAGATCGCCTTCTCCACATGTACGCGTATCGTTTACAACGCACCATCGCGACGCTTTGTATTTCCTATTGTCGGCAACAAATTCGACAAATACCTACGTAATGACACAAGCCTTCATGTGCCGTACCCACAGTTTTTTTCAAGGAGCAGGGGGGGGGACAATTGGCAGCACCCCGAGAAAAATGTCGCGTCGGGGGAAAAAAGAACGCATTATGTTATCCGCGTTGGCTCTGCTGCCTCACTTACGCCCGACTATCAAAGCCGTTTTTTATATTTGTTTTCGAGTCGCCATTTTTTAAAATCACACCTGGCAAGCCAGCGCCGGTTGACGAAAGAAGAAGGGCGAGTGATTATTCTGCGCGAGCGATCGCGTAACTTGTTCGTAGACACCATGCCGATGGAGATGGCCCGATCTCATACATATGTAAATATGTATGTATGTGAATGAGATATGAACGTACATATCTTAAACTACCTGCGTGCCAATTTTCATAGTTTATTGCGCAATTATATCCCTTAGCTTCTTATATCCCTTCCTCCATCTATCTGTGAATACCTCGCCTAACACCGTCTGTCTATTCCGTACATGTTTCCCACACCAGTCTATAATGCACTATAAAAGAATTCTGTACCCATAGGTGTGTGGAACGGGTCTCTCTAAACAGCTCGCAGTGCAGCTAAACAGAATGTGTAGCTCTTTGTAATGCGAAGAAGGCATGGTTACATCGTACACCGAAAGTGAGACCCATTCAGCAAAGCAAACTCAACCCGAACTCATTAGAAGTAAATTTCATGATTTGTTGATTCACTTTTTTAGGGTATCAAAAAAAAGCTTGTCAAATGTCTTACAACTGTGTAACACAAGGTTGCGGCCACGCAGTTAGAGAACTCGATCACTTTTGCTACCGATGTCTCACCAATTACTACGGTCGTTTGTGAATTCGACATGTGTGCCTGTACAGCAGCAACAGAGAAAACCATAATCCAAAGTACCGAGTCCCCACATTATACCCTACAGTACACTGACACCCCACAGTCCCACACCCCTACCCCGAAAGTACTACGTTCACAGTACACAGTTACGCTGACAGGGTCTATGTCTACCTGGGTACTGCCGGACACTGCGGCTGCTGTTGTCAATAACAACAATCAATAATATCAACAATTAACAAACAATAATGGCAGCAACAATAACAGCAGTTAGTAGCAACAACAGCAGCAGCCGCAGTGTCTGGCAATACACAGGGAGACATAGCCCTTATGAGCCCCAGTTACGTGGCTACGTGCGCAGGTTGGTATCAACTCTGTACACGTCTGTGGCACTATACTGTTTCGCATGACTGCTCGCGTCACAGCGTGTCAATGATGTCTGCACGAGCAAAACGTCCGCTTCCTGTATGATGAACGACTCAGACGGATTGCAATACTCTGATATTGAGATATATATATAACTATGAAATCAGCCGGACATCAGATGGTGAATAATGACTATTCTAACTTCTAATTGACAATTTCTAATACGACCGGAAGAGACAGAGTAAGGACCAGTGAGCAGAAGACGCATGAGTTTGTGTAAATTATTATTTTTATTCACATCAAACTGTTAAGATAAAATGTGGTGAAATTCAGCATCCAATACGTGCCGAACTCCTTTGCCGTTATTCGCCCTTGACGGACATGGATCGGATGTTTTGATCACTGCCTTTCATAATGTATTCATACTGGATAGTTACCGATGTAAGGCGCTAATTAGGACAAATAATATAATCACTCTCTATCACATCTATCTAAAGTGAGGTATATTTCATTATAACCAAGCTAAAAGTTTGAATTTTGCCACTGCCCCCACCCACCATCCTTCCAAGTTCCAGGTGAACACCCTGCGGATTTTCGATTAGCCTACTATGAGTTGAATGAAAAATCTACCCTGACATCTGTAAACTTGGCCTGGTACTGCGTTACAGTTTGAATTTTGTCTCTGTCTCCCCCGCACCCAATCTTCCCAGGTGAACACCCTACGGACTTAGATTAGCTTACTATTAGCTGAATTGGTCGCTATAGCTAGGTCGAGTGTAGTGTAGTGACCCAAGAAGAAGAAGAAGAAGAAGAAGAAGAAGTTGAATGAGAAACCTACCCTGACATCTGTAAACTTGGCCTGGTACTGCGTCATAGGCTCGACAACGCTGTCTTGTAGTGTCTTCATGTAGTCGACCCAGATCTCGAGTGATTTCTGTGAGGCTTCCTCGATTACATTATGCTCAACCCACTCCGGTTCATGAACCTCCGCCAGTGCATCATAGAGAGACTTGGCAGACATCTCCATGGCTACAACACAACAAACCTTCATAAGCAGCTGCTTCATCACCATAGCAACAACAAACCTTCATCACCAGCTGCATCCTCACCATAGCAACAACAAACCTTCATCACCAGCTGCATCCTCACCATAGCAACAACAAACCTTCATCACCAGCTGCAGACATCTCCATGGCAACAACACAACAACGCTTCATCACTAGCTGCATCATCACCATGGTAATAACACAACAAACCTTCATCAGCAGCTACATCATCTCCATGGCAACAACACAACAGACTTTCATCACTAGCTGCATCATCTCCATGGCAACAACACAACACACCTTCATCATCAGCTGCATCATCACCATGGCAACATCACAACAAACTGCCACCAACTGCGTCGTCTGTCATCAACTGTCATCGTTATCGGATCATGACAAGTTGGCAACGACACCGAAGACACCACACTACAAAACATCGCCACCCTCATCGTTGCCATGGCAACACGAGTAGAAAAAAACAATACCAATGCTTTATCATTTCCATGGTTATGACATTTCAAATCCTCATTATCATAATCATCTCCTCATGTACGAACTCAAACTTGAAGGTGAATTTTAATTAGAATCAATAGAAATAATAATCCACGAAATGTTATTACGATTTTTAGATCAGTTTGATGATTGAATTAGGATTGAATAAATATCCATACGTTATTTTAAGACACGTACGGTAAAATGCCTGTACAGAATTGTACATGTTCCCTAACACTGTTCATAGGCTATAACGTATCTACGGTATACTCATCTAATTATTTTGCAGCACTTGTTGTTAATTAGTATTTTCTTTAATTATGACACTTCCCGCGACTTATTTTTTACCATCATTCCTGTGTCTACATTAAGTAGAGCATGACTCACACGTTTACTTAAGAACTTACATGATGATCCACCCACCCCTATGATCGAATTTTACATGCGTTCCCAGAAATCAATAGGTTTATCTCAAACAGATGTCTTCGTTCGACTTTTTAATAATTATTACAGCTAACAGCGGTTTCATCCACACGAAAGAGAGGAACTGATTTATTATGTCTTTTTTTTCTACCTAAAAAGAAAGCTACCTTAGAGAAAGCTATTTTCGAGCACGCACTATACCTCCATTACATACATGCAGTCAGGAACAGCAGCGAGTACGGTACGTGTATAAATATACATGCTACGGAGCAACAAGGCTACCCAGTCCAGGTTACCAATACGGCCATATTCTACAGTGCAGGAAACGGTAGTGCAATCAGTAACCAGAAATAAACCTACTTTCGCTGTGTAACATATGTTACAGCTGGACTGTACAATTAAATCGAGAATCTATGCGTACATATACATTACTAGGCCCGTTGAGAAACTCAATGAACTTTACATCCTTTTCTTCGCGGGAAACATTTTTTCCGTTTTACACTCTTTTGTTTTTGCATCCTACATTCTACCCGTTTTCTCATCGTCGTCTGTTCATTGCTGATTCTGTCGCAAGGTCATTGCAGAAGAGGGAGCGTCTGTATATTCTCCCTACTAAAACTTAAACGCCCCCCTTCCGCATATAATTTATACAGGTGTAATACTGAGTTCTTAACCGTCTGTTATCCGTGATCGTTAGTGGTCGGCGTATACGAGTAGAGCTATCATTTTTATTATTAATATTTCCGTAATACACAAGCAGCATCGGCACATGCATTACGAATATTCTGAAACCCACGGTAAACGTAGGGAGAGAGGGGGGGGGTGGCATGCGATTCGACATTGTTTTTCTATCACATTGTTTTTGTTTGGAAGCGAGCGAGAGCGCATTAGTTTATTTTCAGACGCTATTTTAAAACGCGGGTCTGGTTGGTATACCCGTGCAAAGATCGGGAACGCTTCGATATAGGGGCGGTTCTCGAGCATGCACCAACGCAAAGAAACGCGATGTGTCATAAATGCACTGGAACACTACACCGTACATCGGTATTTGCCGATAGACGGACTCCAGAGATAGTTGTTAAGATCAACCACGGTTGTTTTTAGGGATTGGAGTCCGTCTAGCCAGCCGATTAAAAACGAAAAAAAAAAATCAACAAAAATCGGAGCGCCTACTGGTTCTGGTGTTAATCAAAATTTCGCGTTTTTGTTGGAATATAGTCGGATTCCTTTAGAAAGCTGTGTGGAGCCATACAACTTGCAACGTTTTTACCTATCAGTAGGCATCTTCCTTACATTATATTACATATCGCCCTTTTGTGACGAGTAAAGAATGAAGCTAGCTAACTGTACGTCTACACTAGAATAGATATCGAGTCCTAAGGTGGCTGTACCTACAGTTGCAAGAACTACTGCATCGATATAACCGTATCTACCATAATGATGGTGTTAATAGAAGATTTGTTTATTGAACTAAACTTGGTTACGTTGCTCGGGTTATTGCCTATTAGTATTACATGAACGCGTATAGATGATATCAGGAGTGAATAATAGAGATTCTCTATTATTCACTCCTGATGTGGTCCGTGTTTTAATTCTTTTAAATCTACACTATGTAACCACCCTAACCCTAAATCTTACCTTTGACTGAGCTGACATATCTCCTGATTTCCTTCGAAAGATTATTAGCTGATGCCTGCTGCTTGGCGAAGTTGCCCACGTATGTCTCAAAGCCCTCATCGCGTGTTTTGTCCGCCTTGCCTAGCGTCTGGAAAAGCTGCAAAATAGAACAACAAATCTGCGTTAGTCGTCAGTGAGCATGTATCAAACATACCTTCTACAAACTGCAATGATAACAGTAAGGATACCTATCAAATATACATCACATACCTTCTACACACTGCTATGATAACAGTAAGGATACCTATCAAATATACATCACATACCTTCTACATGCTGCAATAATAACAGTAGTGATATACCTATCAAATATACATCACATATACCTTCTACAATCTACACACTGCAATGATAACAGTAGTGATATACCTATCAAATATACATCACATGCCTTCTACACACTGCTATATATATATGATAACAGTAGTGATACCTGATGAAATATACATCCCACATTCACCAGTATCTATTTCCATTCACACTCGCCACTCCCACCTGCTATCACTATGAAACTTAACATACCCTCCGGCCCCTACCACCTATCACCACACCCTCACCCACCATTGCCACTCCCACCCACTATCACAACACCTCTCACGACAACCACACCCATCCACAACCACT